CATCCTTTTTAACAGTTTTGTTCTTCAATTTCGTACAAGTGATTAGACCTATAATCGACCGTTGATCGTCCGATTTTTGACATCAACAATAATTTTATGTAACTTTCATATATTATTTAGTATAAAATATAATTACTAATTTTAATATTAACTATTATATTATTCAATAAAAAATATAATTATTAATCATTTAACATACAATATAATGGTTTTTGTCTTAATTAACCCAAAAAATATAATGAAATATTTTCTTATTAATGAGATTGGGTGTATTAATGCCACATAAATAAAATTTATTAGGTTCTATTTATTAGGTTTTATTAATGATTGCCACATATGTAAAATTTATTAAGTTTTATTTATTAGGTAAAATTTATTGCTTAGCTAGCAATTATATATATATAGATATAATAAGTAATATTTGAGAATTTAATATTAAAATTTTAGAATACATTTTTAAAATTTAATCATTAGGAAAAATAAATTAATGATTGTTTATTATTATGAATAATTGTTAATTATCATTAGATAATAGCAGTTTGATTATTATTATTATTATTGTTATTATTATTATTATTATTATTATCATTATTATTATTACAAAAACAATTGTTTATAAGATTCTAAAGTTGTTTGACTATGCTAGTAAAACAATTTACTAATTGTCTTTAAAGAACTTTTTTCATGAGATACAAAAGAAAAAGATAATATTGTTGTTAAAATAAATAACTTGAAACAATTGTTTATAATTATGCAATTTATATTTATTGTGAATTATTATTAGTTGGTATTAGCATTAATTATTATATAATATAATAGAAAAATATATGATTACACTCAATAGGATGTATTAATGTGAGAAGTAAAAAACATTAATGATAAATTTTGTAACTGAAAATGGAGGAAAAATTTTAGAGGTTTTATTAAATAGGTTTTCTTAAATGCTATTAGCTAGTAATTATATATATATAGATTAATGTGCACTTCATAATAATGCCAAAATGCAATATATTAAAAATTCTAAAATTGCATCAAGGTCCCTTGGACTTGTTTAATTCTCACTATTCAGCCACTACAAAAAAAATCATATTCCCATCACTGTACATACAATCCACACACTACCTGCATCTCTCAGCCCGTCGCCCTCTGCCCGCCGCCCGCCTCCATCCGCCCCACCGTCGGAAAATAATGTCCTGTAGAAGACATCAGCTTGACCCTGTCGGTCTGCACCTTCGGTCGTCGCCCACAAGATCTTTGGGTTTCGAAATTTGAGTTAAAATGTAATGTTATTCACCCTTCACTAAGATCATGGTATTTTGATAGTGGATGCACGTGTCAAATAACCGGTTCTCGTGATTCTTTTACGAACTTGGAAACCTATGAAAATGGATGAGTTGACGTATGAAGGAGATGAACACGACAAGGTCACAAATGCTAAATGTGGGTGGTCTTTCGAGGCTTTAAATAGTATTGCTGTAGATGGATTTGGCTAACATCATCAGCATAAGTCGACAAATGAATTTATAGCGCGGCCTCCTGCTTGGGCTTGGTTTCAATAGGGGGACCATCAACACAGTTGAAGGACTGACCGAAATAAGTCTGGCAGGAAAACAGCAGTTTTTTTGCAACAAATTTAATTGGAAAAAACATAGAAAAACTGAAAATAAGAGCCAAAAAGCTAGTAGAAAATTGGAGGAAAAAGGAAAAAAAAACCTTAGAAGCAAAATAGGAAAAGCCATCGAACAATGGGGCAAAAAGAAGAAATGATTTTATAAGGCCTTCCACTTTGATCAGCTGACAAGGATATCATTGTCAAAGTGAATTTTCATAGCATATATACAAAGGCATTCTAACAGGAAAGAATGGTTCCAACACAATGACTCAAAAGTAAAATTCAGAATACGCAAGATATCAACAGATACAGCAAATAAAGAACTTTCTGATAAAAGTTCCAGAGTTGAATTATCCAAAAGACTGCGTCTTTATTACGTTACAGTCCAGGAAACAACAAAAGACATCACCACCATAAGCTTAAAATAGGTTATACCAAGACTCCTACCGCAAATATCAGCCATTTTCAAACAAAATATTACACTATACCTCTTGGTTTTCAAATTCTGATTTCCCAACGAGCCGAACTCCAATCTCCACACAAGGAACGAACTCCACACGATCACCATCAGAAATATTAAGACTAAGATGCTTAACCTCTCGAGTGTCGAGGCGAAAAAGGATTAGATATTCACCTCTTCCTTGAAAAAGCAGTTCGTCATTCGTCCAGAACCCTAATGGCTTAACACCACCAGGAACACAAAAAGTGGATACCCGCTCCCATGAACCATCATCATGACTTCTCACCCACAACTCACAAGCTTTTTCCCTCTCAGAATTTGGGTAGGTTATAACATTTGGGTAGATTATAGCGGCAAGCTTCCCATCTCGCTCGGCAAGATGCAGCCAATAATATGACCCAACACGCTTAGCCGAATCCGGAAGATCAAGGAAAGAAAATTGTTTACTTGCAAAGTCAAAGGTAAGAAGTCGCACCATCCTGTTTATCTTCGTCTCACAATAAGCAACCCCATTTACAGAAGCAGAAATCCAGGCCAGTGGAAAGCAAATAGAACCTAGGTGATCGGGTAATTCCTCCCAAGAATCGGAGTTTAGGGAGTACAACTCAGCGTGAGCCGTCCTGGGGATAGAAGGATGTTCTTCAGGAAAAGTGTTGTACACGAACCTTACTACTTTAAAATCTTGAGAATTACGATCGAACCCAATATTGGTACCCTTAAACATGAGATATTTAGCATCTGGATGGAGTTGGATGCAAGTCGGGGGAAGGAACTTAAATTCGTTAGCTGATGGGTTCCAAAAGGCAAGTCTCCCCTTAATAGACTTATCCTCGAGGCACACCACGCCATTGCAAGAGCCCTGGATCAGAACACTATGAAATGGCAAATGGAGTTGTCGTGTTGATAATGATTTGTCATCCCGATCAAGCACAGAGAAATAGCTACACCTCAAGACAACGTCCCCATCAGTATTAATGTTGTTGCCATGTTTTCGCAGCAAAAGAGGAAGCTTTTTCTCAAGGAGGGAGCTTGTGCTGTCGATTTGCAGATGGCGTTTGGGGATGTAAAGCGAGGGATTGTGTTCGATTGATGAGAGATTCCTGAAAAAGTACCTGGAATTGAAGAGGGATCTTCGAGCAGCGTTCTTTAACATCAACATTCCCATATTATATCCATGAAAGCTTGACTTATTTGGTGTTCTGTTATAACCCTAGCAGTGGAAACTGGAGATAATGGCGACTGCTACTCTTCTCTGGGTTT